AATATACAAGTACGGTTTAGAAATAAAATGTATATAGAGTAATATGTTGCAAATCACTCCTTTTCCATAGTCATCCTGTTTCTACCATTGTTGCTAATAGGTAACTACTAATATTAAATTCTTGTGTGTCCTTCCATAGACTTTTTTGGTATGTATACGAATGAAAATATATTTCTCCTTCCCATTACAGAAATAGTGGCATCGGGTACACAGTGCTTTTCAGTGTGAACTCTCCCTACGCTGGAGATATTTCTATGTTAGTGCAAGAGGTGACTGGCTTGCAATATTTCTGATATATAGTTGGATGATTTCTTAAGGGAAAATATTTTTTGCACAGAATAAAGACACATCTTTATTGTTTCCCTTGTCATTCAAGCTCAAGTTTTTAAAAAGCTTGCTAATTCCTGATAAAAATATTAATCCTTTTTGTATAGATATAATTTATTAATAATAAAATTCTGAATGCAAAATATGTAGTTCTTGTTTCAACCTGATAAGATTTTTGACAATAAATTTAAAATATTTCTGATTTATTTTACATATTAACTTGTGCTATACACTGAAAAATTAGCTCCTTCAAATTCCCATTGCTACCAGCTTCTATCAGACTTTATCTCTAGACTCCTGTGTTAGACCCCTACCTGGCCCCGTACATTTTCCAATTCCCCACTCCTATCCACTGTACAAACTAAATTGTCATATGAGATAATAGCTCCAGTAGTTTCACTTTTCTGATAAAGACAAAATAAATATAAACCTCTACAGCATTAAAGGTCCTACTGATTGTAGTTTAAATATAACATTCTGCTTTGGATTTCCGTTAGTCTCTTCTTCATGTCATATTCCCATTCACAAGTCTACTCTTTTCCCCTAAAAACATTCTAGTTTTGATTTATCTCCTTTTTCCTCATGCTGTTTTCTCAAGAAACATCCAAATCCTCTTTTCAGAATTCTATCACTATCCAAAGATGATTGCAAATACTATTTTTATATGAAATACAATTTGTACCAAAAAGTGTGAAAAAGTATGTGTATGTGAAGACAAGACTACATTTGTGGAGGTTATCAGGAAAATATTATATAGTATTACTTATATGCTGGCATATTCTTTATTTCCTTGTTTACTCGTTTCTTCCATTAGACTAAAGTTCTTGACTAAAGCTTGTATCTTACTAGTCTTTCTTTCCACTTTAGAACGAAGTATAAACTTTGTACTAGAAAGTTCTCAGGAAATATTTATGTAATCAAACTGAAGCTATTTGAACCAAACGCTGGAAAAAAGTGATAGAAATCAAATAATAGAAAAAAAAATCCATTTCATTTACAAAACTGGCCTAGGAAGACTTTTTGAATAAGGCCTTCGACGGGCCTTTGGACATATGAAAAAATGTGACAGAGACTCTATGACAAAAATTTGTTGGAATGAGACACCTCAAACAACTAAAGACAACAATCACAAAAAAGCAGCAACTCTGACTTCCATAGAAATCGACCATATTAAGATATAACTGGCCTGAAGAAAGAAAAAGAGTTCCATGGCACTTATATCAATATGACTGTAAAGTAGACAATGACACTACAGAGATTCATTAAAAATTAAGGATATATCAACTATTGCTTTTCAAATTGATAAAACGTTCTTTTTTCCACTAAATTTTGGGTTAAAGTAAACTGGAGATTTGCAATATATAAAGGCACTCATTAAAACTCATAAATATTTTAAATGAGAATCTTAAATTATAAGAATAGTTTTTCGAGGTCTATGCTTAACTAGCTAGTTATTTATCTCTACTTGTCATCAGTGTCTCCTAATATAAAGATGGCTAATAGATGTTTTATCTGTTACATAAACGCTTTTATGTTGATGTCTGCATAGCTGGGTCACCTTCGCTGGTTTCTACAGGATTTGGGTGAGTGAGGACATATGACTACATTTCTTTCTATTCCTTTCCTCCTTCTTTCTAGAAAACTCTATATTTCTACATGAAATTATTTAAAATTAAAGATAGATGAATAGGAAGAGAAAGTTTCTTAAGCAAATTTCAACCCACATCATTTTCTTTTCATTAATCTGAAAATACAAAATTGCTTAAAGATTTTTCAAAAGCTGAAGAGAAGTTTTAATTAAATACTACACTAACCATAAAGATGATACTAGTGTGTACTATGAACTCTGGTCCCAGAGTCAAGAAATTTAGGTTTCATTACTATCTTCCCAACAAAAAAGCCATATGCAGTATATAACTTTCAGATGTACATCATAATATATTTCAAATTCTGTGTAGATTACATCATGTTCACCACCCAAAGACTAATTATAATCCATCACCACACATGTGTGCCTAATCACCCCTTTCACCCTCCTCCTTCCCCGCTTCCCCTCTGGTAACCACCAATCCAATCTCTGTTTCTATGTATTTGTTTGTCGCTGTTTTCATCTTCTACTTATGAGTGATGCCTACTTCTTTTTATATCCAGAATAATGAAATGAAAATATCTACAGGTGTGGTAGGCAGAACAAAGGCGCCCCCAAAGATGGCCATGGCTTAATTCCTGGAATCTGTGAGTATGTTACTTACATGGCAAAAGGGACTTCACAGATGGGAATCAGATCACAAACCTTGAGATGAGGACATTATCCTAGATTACCCACTGAGGCCCAATATAAACCAAGGAATGCTGTGGCCTCTAGAAGATGGAAAAGGCAAGGAAATGTATCTCCCCTACAGCCTCCAGAAAGGAACACAGGCCTGCCAACACCTTGATTTTAGTCCAATAAGACCAACATTGGACTTCTTACCTACAGAACTGTAAGGTGACAAATTTTTGCTGTTTTAAGACACTAAATTTGTGGTAATTTTTACAGCAGAAACAGAAAATTAATACTTCAGGCACATGGGAGAATTGAAAATAAAACGGAAGAACTTATTAATATTTACCAAAAATCAAGTACATATTTTTAGCAGTCAAAATTTGAAGTTTCCACAGGAATTCCTACTTTTTTGAAGGACCAATTCGGAACACAAAAATTTATGAATATAAAAAAAAATCCACTGTCAATATGCTAGAAAATTATACTAGTTTTTAGACTTCACTTAGGGTTACTTATCTCTGAACCCAAATATATGAACAGAACATGCTTCAAAACAATTTTTCACAGCAATGTTTTTGTTGCATCCCTAGTACTGAGAGCATGCAAAACACACAGTAGGCGCTCAGCAAATATTTGAGGAATGAATAAAAGAAGAAATAATACAAGACTGAGAAATCAAGAGAAATAACCTAACAATTAATTATTACATGCATTTATAGAATTCTATAACGTGGAAGGTATAAGGTGGAAGATAGAAGATACCACATTTTTTAAGACAGTAAAACTCATTGCTCACTAATTTTTTTCCCACTAGGAATATAAGTAATAAGTTGAAAAACAATATGAAATCAAAAGAACCCCAATATGCCTTTAAAACATGATCCCGTTGCAGAATTTCTTCTTTGTTCCCTTATAGATATATCACAATGGAGACCATGAAATAAAAATCCAACAACTGAACATATTGTGATGACACAATGCAATAAATTGGTGGTATAAATTTTTAAATTAACTTATTGACACAATTTATAATGAATATATAAGGACCTCCTCAAACTGATTGTAATTAGTGAAACATTGACAAGGGTAAAAATACAAAAGGAGCTACTTTGAATTAAAAAGCAATTTTCTAATTCTTTAAATAATCCCTTGTCTCTATTCAAAACTTCAACATTTTAAGCTTATAAATTTTGGTAAAACTTAGACAAAAGATGGTAAATACATAAAGACAACCTGGTGGTAAAAAATTAAATGCCTCCATTTGAAAACTAATAAATCAAAACAATTTAGCAATCTCACCTAGGAGACCAGTTCTGTAATCCCACTTCTATATTTCTATCCTGGACAAATAAACTTAAATAATAAAAATACCCCATAATTTTTGGTATAACAAAATTTATGCCTAACTAAAATGTCCAACAATAAGGAATGGTTAGGTAGATGGATCATATATTTATTTATTTATTTATTTATTGAGGAATATTAGTCCTGAGCTAACTACTGCCAATCCTCCTCTTTTTGCTGAGGAAGACTTGGCCTGAGCTAACATCCACGCCCATCTTCCTCTACTTTATATGTGGGACGCCTACCACAGCATGGTGTGCCAAGTGGTGCCATGTCTGCACCCGGGATCTGAACAGGCGAACCCCGGGCCACCGAAGTGGAACGTGCGCACTTAACCACTACACCGCTGGGCTGGCCAAGATCATATATTTAAATATCATATCATGCACCAAAACAAATATAGCATGAAAGGAAATCAGTGTGAAAAAATTTTAAATTTAGTATGACATTATTTTAAAATATGCATAGAAAAAAATTAGAAAGCAATATGCCAAGATATTACAGATAATTGGTAGCATTATAGATTATTTTAATTATGTTTTTTACTGTTTTCCAAATTTTCAACATTAAAATTATTTTATAATCAGAAAAAGCATTTTGTAATGAAAATGAAAAGTTCTGATGTAAACAGTCACTTCTTGATCGTTTAGCATTTCAAATACTGTAATTGTACCTATTCCATGAAAACTTCTGAAGGAATGGGTTGTTTTAGACCAAACCAAGGACTTTACCAAATAGCATCAAAATACATTTTAAGTTTGATCTGAAGAATGAAGCGACCAGAAATAATGAAAGTCAATATTAACTGTGAGGAAATTGAGTATTGAGAATAGATTAGAGACAAATATTTCACAAGAGAAAAGACCATTTATGGTAACTTAGAAGAGTTAGTTCTTTATTTTACAATCTCTAGTGCTATCTATATAGTCTTAGGTGTCTGAATTATTATTACATACATAATCAAATTCTACATTTGCAGGCTCCAATAAGCTGGGTAATAATTAATTTCAGATACAACTTCAGGTCAAAGAAAAAGCAATATATTGGTGGAATTGTTACTTACTGTGGTAGCACAATGAATATCTTTCCATATTGTGGCTTCCCTGGAGAGATCGGAGACTTCAAACAAATTGTCAAGAATCACTTCTCCAATCATGTCATGTCTAGAAAATCTGTCAAAATCATATACACTGAAATGTAGTTTTCGGTTGCTTAGTTGATCGTATGCTACAGGAAACTGAAAAGTTTCATCAAATAGAGGATTTAAAGTCTTTCTGTGGACGCGGGTCTGAAATTTCTTTTTCCTGTCTGGAAGAAGATACATCTTCACATAAGGGTCTGAAGTTCCTGTGAAGTCTTTAGCAGGGAGATCTAAGGCTTTGATAATTTTAACAACTAGAAGTTCATTTTCGTAATCATACTGGAGGGTAAAGTTAAATTTCCCACAGGTTTTGACGTCTTCTTTCGTGTTGCCCTCAGAGTCAACTGATTTCTGTTTGTAGAGCTCTGGTTTTATCCTGCCAATGCTGGTTGTTGTTTCTCCTCTTTGTAAAACAGGTTCTGTGCCCGTGCTAAAATCAACACTGGAAATCTGCATTTGCCTTGGTAGGTGTCTCCTGAAGGAATTGTGGCTGTACACACACATATACACAAAAATCATTTAGGTAGATCATATCCATGACGATGCTATATATACAGTGGCTGTCCCCTCCCCCCGGGGTGATGAAATCATTATATCAATAGACAAACACACACACACACACACAATCAAAGAGCTACACTTGAAAAATCAGAAGTGCAATATTCAAAGGAAAATTCTCCTAAAATTATAAAAACACTTGAAACACACAAATGTGCATTTCTATGAGCTTTTGGAATTTTGTACACTCAATCTTAAACACATAATTAAATACAATTATAAAGAAATATGACTACCAACAAAGTTCAATATTCCACAAAGTAGTATGAATGTTATCAATCATCTGGGTATATCTAGATGTAAGCATTATGTAGACAAATCATTTAGATGGCTGGTTTCTTTTCATCTGGATATTTGGGTCTCGTGAATTTCATGTTTTAGTGACTACAGCATTAAAATAAAAAACGTAAGTCCACATATTCTTATACTGTGTTAATTATTTCCAATACTTAAGATAACTAAATGAATATTTACTTTTAAAAAGAACATATAGTTGTGACAGCCAAAATGAGTACATTTTCCTTTTTTCAACATGGAGTGGGTTCAGAAACCCTAAGGATAAAAAAAAATGTAGAATTTTAGAATTTGGGACCAAAATAATAGGGTTTTTAAAATTCAAACAATTTCCTAAAGTCACTGTTACTATTCATCTAGTCAGCATGTCCAGAACATTAGACATATCAGCTTACTAGTGTCTTATATACGTGACATCATTAAGATCTTCTCTTACACTTCCTCTATAAGTTCTGGCATGATCTGTCAACTTAAACGTCCCTTCAAGGCTTAGTACTAGGTCTTATGATCTTTCCTCTCCTCAGTCTCTCCATCAGGCCAATCATCAATTCTTGGACTATAATTATTATCTTGAATCTGATGGTTCCCTAGATATATCTCAGATACATAAACTTCTGGTCCCACATTTCTATATCTATCTCCAAGGAAGACTTCTGAATGGATGTCCTAACTTTGCCATTAGTTTGTCTCTTTTCCTTTCAAATCAGTTATCTCTGCCACAATCTCTGACAATAGCTCTAACATTTTTATCAGCCGTTCATGCTTGGAAATCTGCAGTATGCTTTGAATCACCTTTCCTTTAGCCACAGGATTTACTCAGTTTTCTAAATCCTGGTGATGTTTGCTTTGAAACATCTCATATAATTGTCCATTCTGCTCCATTTCTATTGCTACTCAGTCCAGATCCTCATCACCTCCTACTTTGCTTTCTACACTACCCTTCAGCTGACTTTTCTTTCTTTCAGCTCTCTCTGAAAATTAATTTCTATCCAGCCCTTACTTCAAAATTCTTTGCTCACTTCTGTGTCTGTTACATCAGGTCTACATCTTTTACAGCACTAAGTAATACTGAGGGCATTGCTTAATTAATACTTGATTTATAGATACACATATAAGATTGATGTAAGAGGTATAAAAAGTTAGTGAATATCCAGAAGTGATATTCAGAATAGATACCTAGGGATGGTACCATATGAGAAGCAGTTAGAGGAACTGAGGATGTTGAACCTACAAAGGAGGGGAAGAAGCTGGGGCAAAGAGCAAAGATGGATTAATGCTAGCTGTCTTCTAATATCTGAGGGACTGTCATGACATAGTTAATAAAAAGTTATAAAAGTTATAGATAGATAGACTTCAGCTTAATATAAGGGAATGTTTAGAAATATCTAGAGCTGTCTAATGTGGTGAAGTAATGAACTTCTCAAACAGGAAGTGTAGAAACAAAGGTTAGATGCTGAAGAAGAAGACTCTGCCTCAGATGAGATGCCAGACCTCTAAGTGTTTTCTAACACTTAATTTCTATGATTCTCTGCCATTCTACAGTTCTTTGATAATTTCGTGGGTCTAAAAATACAAGATATCATTATTATGTGTGTTAATAAAGTGGAATTTGTTAAAATCAGAATTATAATCTTAGGTGTTCCAAGTTCACTCTTACATTTAATTGGCTTACTTTCTGTAAATGGATTGAAATACTGAACAATTATTTAAACACCATAAAAAATGCTTAGAGCTGTACTGAAAGTAATTCAGCCTCTCTGTAGTCTCCTTTTATACAAATAAGGAAGACAAACCAAAATGAGCTGTGAAAGCATCAGTAACTCTTTGCCTGTTACTGTATTACTTACAGACTTCCCAAACACTTTTTAAAAGCCAACATAGTTCAGTTTATATATTGCAAATCAAAATAAAGGTTGAGCCTGGGGAAGTGGCAGAACAGTATCACAGGGGAAAATACACTGTGGCATTTTTGGATGATCTCTTCCTTAACATTCTGCTTAACCTCAGGACCCAAAAGAGAGGCTGTCAGTGTGAGGTCATAGAGAATTATATGGAAGAAGGGAGAAGGCTTGGGGAAAAATGATATTCCAGTCTCAGATTAGTGCTAAAGAACATCAAGAACGAGAATGGGAGAAAATGATATCCAATGACAATTTGGAATGAGATAAAAGGAGAATAATAAAAGACAGGGAAAAAAATGAAGAAAATTTCACAATAAAACATTAAAAGTGTGACCTTCTTCTTCAGATTTTGCTAGAAAAGGCTAATATATTGAGTGCTTACTATGTGGCAGGTACAGTTGTAAATTCTTCGTCTTCTCACCCGATCCTCATGTAACCCTATGAGATACTTACCATTATGTTCCCAATTTTACAAATGAGAACACTGAAGCACAAGAGGTAACTTATTCAAAAGTCATATAACTAGGCAGGCGCTAAAAGTGAAGTATGACCAAGGCAGTCTGGGTCCAGTGTCTCCACTCTTTTTCGTTTTCTTTTTTTTTTTGAGGAAGATTAGCACTGAGCTAACATTTGCCATCAATCCTCCTCTTTTTGCTGAGGAAGACTGGCCCTGAGCTAACATCCCTGCCCATCTTCTTTAACTTTATATGTGGGATGTCTGCCACAGCATCGCTTGACAAGCGGTGTGTAGGTCTGCAACCAGGATCCGAACTGGCGAACCCCAGGCCGCTGAAGTGGAATGTGCGAACTTAACCACTGTTCCACTGGGCCGGCCCCTAGTGTCTCCACTCTTTACCACCATGCTATTCTGCCATATTTGATTAAATTATTCCCAAGTTTAATCATTCCAGTAAGTAACCATATAAAATATTTAAAAATTATTTATATATGCTTTTATACAACTTTTTCCACTTAAACATTATAAATAACATAATTATATAATCCACTAAGATCCAAAGTTTACTTGGTTGAAAGAGCTTGAAATATATTTTTAGAGATCTTTTTAACTTCTTTGGCTAGTTACCAGGAATTAAAAGGGAGCAAGGATGCTTAAGTTGTAAGTAAAATTATGATCAGACACGTACAGAATTCTTATAAAGTCTACAGTTATGGTACATTTTATAACCAATAATGTGTTTTGAAAATACTATGTAGCAAAGTGAAATTTGCTAGGCAATTTATGCAATATATTTTCAAAATGATTAAGTTAAAATTTGTTTATAATCAAAAAGCTATTTCTATGTAAAGAAACATACTAGGACTACTTTATCTCAGATGAAGGAATTAGCTGCTAATTAAAACTACACCGAATTTGACCCAATATTTTAGCTTCTGTGTCTAAGGGAGGATATATGTAAAAATCTATATTAATTTAAAGCTTGAAGTGAACTGTTTCCTAGGTCAATTCCATTTTCATGCATTGAGAACACTCTGAAATGCATTTTGACGCTGAATTTATGCCAGATATACAGGATCAGGGTTTTAAATTAGACTCAGAGAACTGTCAGAGAGCATTTATGAAAAGAAGAAGAATAAAGAAAAGAATACAAGTAGCATATGTTGTTGTGAATTATGAAAGGTGTCTAGTATAATCCAGTTTATATATTCAAAGTTTCTAAGAGATTTAGAATATTTTATTAAATCATCTAATGTTTCTGCCAAAATTACTTTCACTTATGCAACGATTTTTCAGTTTTTGATTTTTGTGAGCAAAATCCCCTGAGAAGTTAATTCCTTATTTTTTATAGATTGATTCGATAATTTCCCACTCACTTATGCCTTTCAATATAATAAATTTTAAATCTTCTATCCTTCTCCTAAAAATCAGTAATTTCTTTCTCATGCCTCTGAATATAATCGTGCAGCTGTAAAGCCCCTTCTAAGAGGAATCAAAGAGTAGTAACGTTTTGTTTGAGTAAGCCAGTGCCCTAATTACAGGGTAAATAGTGCATATTCTAAGTCACAGTTTAGCTCGTCAGTTAAGAGAAGCTTTAATTATTACAATGTTAAACTATTGCCATGACAACACAGATCTTTTTCTTCTTGCTTTTTTTCCTTCTTCCTTTTCTCTTTTGGAATGACAGTGATAAATGGCTATTTAGTCTCACACAAATATCCAACTAGTCAAAGTACAGGCCACCTGACTATTACTGATCCCATTCTTGTCCTTCCAACCTAGAAGGGCACCACCCAGTACTCTTCCAGATGGAGAAGGGAAAACTTTCCCCATCTTACCTGGAACAGTTGAGTAATACTCCATATTACTTGATGCCACAGGAATAAAATGTATTCATATAGAGATTTTCAAATATTTATCACCAACAGAACCTTCTTTCAAGCAAAATCAGAGGCCACAGTTGAACGTGTGAACACAGAGCTACTGTGGTTGATGTGTGGGTAGAGTCCTGGAATCTCACTGGAAAATAAGACAATTTTTTCCCACCACTGAGAAGAAAGTGCTTGAAGATCACGACATCGAGATGAGGTGGAAAAAGTACTGGACTGGGATCAGCCCGCAGATTGGCCCCAGCTTCCCTGCATATTGAGGGCCACTTTGGGCAAGTGACCTAACTTGTTTGAGCTCTGCTTTCCTCATCTATAAAACAGTTCTTTCACAGTTGTGAAGATCAAATGAGCTATTACAGAGATGACTTGGAAACCTACAATTTTTCATACT